TTAAGCAAAAATTTGAACTAAAATGATGTATGGATATTGCAGTTCTGATCCCTTCTTGAGCGTATATTCGGAATTTTTCATTTCAGCATCTACTGTGTAAAATTTTAGCAAAAGTATTGAGAAGTGTTGAAAAAAATGATGAAATTTTTGCACTTATTTGACCTTTGACCTCCTAAAAATAGTTCTAATGAGGTCAAACTTTTAAAAAATTTATTTGCTGTTATGTCCCTTGTAATTTTATGACATTATATCTAACTTTAATATGTGCTAGGATGCATAAATGTTTTAAGGATGAGTGAAAAACAAAAATTTCTGCCCGAAATTGAAAAATTCTGCGTTGCTAAGCAACCGATTTTAAGGAAATGTATGCAGAATTTTAAAAAAAGTTTATGTGTTTCATGAAGTACAGTTTAATGCCCTTTTGTTGGTATATCCCAAATTTCCTATTTCAACATACATCTTTGTAAATATTTAGCTTGAAGATTAAAAAGTATAAAAAAAATTCCATAAAATTTTGCACTTAATTGACCTTTGACCTCTATTTTTACTAATTAGGTCAATCGTTGAGTATCTGAATTGTCATAAAATATCATCTCTAAGAAATTCCCTACGAAATGGTATTTATTATACCTAGTATTCTCCATGGATAAAAAAGTTAGAAATAATTTAATAATGCCATGTCTCTAAAATCACGTAAAATGTGCCGGTAGAGAAATGGTTAATCGAACACTCATCTCTATGTTAGGAACTTTAGACCCAGAGCAAAAACACAACTGGAAGAAATACATCAGTCCATTAGTTCAGGCCTACAACTCAACAATTCATGACTCTACAGGATACTCGCCATATTTCCTTATGTTCGGCAGAGACCCCATTTTACCCATAGATCTCATATTTGGAATTGACAGAAATCAACCTTCAAAATCAACTTCTTCTTATATACAGAAACTGCAGAAGAATCTCCAAAATGCGTACCAACAAGCCCAAACTGCCCTCAAGAATTCACAAGGAAGACAGAAGTTATATTATGACACCAAAGTAAGAGGAAGTACTCTAAAAGAAGGAGATCGAGTTTTGATCAAGGTTGTAAAATTTGACGGCAAGCACAAGATTCAGGACAGATGGGAAGAACATCCATACATAATCATAGGGCAACCTAACAATTCAGTTCCTGTCTTTCAGGTGAAAAGAGAAGATGACCAAGGACGGACAAGGATTTTACATAGAAACCTCTTATTACCTATTGGGTCCAAGCTCGCTTCACCTGTTCCAGCACCTAGGCGTAAACTTCCAGGGAAGCCTAGACAAGACAGAGACACAGAGACAACACAGAATCAAAGTGATACAGAGGACCTAGACAGTGAGTATTGTTTCAGCACAGTAAATCACACAGTGCCATTGCAACATGCACCCGCTGTAGATCAAGGTCAGAATGCTCCCACTGTTACTGGTGACGATCAGGAAAGTGAGGAGCACCTGGAGGATGGATCAGGGGAGGACGCTACCAGTCAGAATATTGATGAATCTGATGATCCAGAGTCCAGCGCAGTTGATGATGCTGATGACGCTCATGACGATAGCGCAGTTGATGATGCACATGACGAGAGTGCAGCAGATGATTCAGATGATGATCTGAATACTACAAGTGTAAATAGTCCTGAACTTGAAGAAGACGACGAAGAAGAAATCCCCAGAAGATCAGGTAGAATACGGAAGAAACCAGATTGGATGGGTGATTTTATTTGCAAACAACAGGTTTTAGATTGGACGAAGAAGGCAGAATGTTTTAAAGAAATGGCGTCTGAATTGAAAGGTATGGACGAAGAGATGTCGAAGGTATTTTTGAAAATGATTACAGAGAAATTTTAATTTGTACTATATTTTGATTTTAACGATTATTTTTCAGCAGTTATCGAGGTAAGCCTCCTTTAAATGACGTGGAAGTCATTTCAAAAGGAGGGGGAGTATGTAAGAGTGATGATTTATTAATTAATTTCTAATTAATTAATAAATATCAAATTATTTTGTATCCTATTTGTATATATTTTTATTTCAGCTTATTAGTTAAGTGTATGGTCATTCAGGTGTAACAGACAGTGCTACCCTGTTATTTGCCTTTAGGGTTATAATTAAGGTCCTGGCCATAAGTTCTATAAGTCATTTGTTTCTATTGGGTTTTAGTTTTGTGTTCTTGTGTTTTATTGGTTTGTCAAATTCCCTCCAAAGTGTTCTTGGTCTTTCTGGTCATTCTTTGTCCAGATTGTTGATAGAGAGGTTCCATTTTGTTGTGACAGAATTTGACCAATTGACTATTGACTTAGACTCTCTTCATCTTCTGGTAAGCTAATATTTATTTACTAACTTTAACATATCTTTAATATATAGTTCATTAAATGTGAAATCTGTAATTCCTGCAATATTAATTTCCATAGCACTTTTGCACAGTAAGAGAGATTTTGGAAGTCAGATTTTTACTTAGTTATTAGCAGTAAAGCTAGGGTATTTTTATGATCTAGACAATATGTACATATGTTTTATGATCAGAGAATTATATATGGTATATGATAATTTATAGTTATCATCTGGACTCCCAGCCATATACTGTAGTTGTGTGATAAACCATATGGGAGCTTGCCTATTCCCTCAGAATGGTATGCTATTGTTTTTATGAGCTATTGTTTATTAGTAGAAGGTACATAATGTCTTTGAAGATATTATAGCTTTAATAGTAATATATATTTTGTTGTAAAGTATTTTAATTGTATGCACAAAGTGTAAATTCTAAGGGAGTATTATATTGTGTGTAATGAATGTAAAAGTTATCTCCCTTTATGCAGTATTGTGTATAATATTGAATTGTGCATTAATGATTTTATGATTTTACTCAATATTGTTATTATTTATTTCAGGGCAATAGTGAATATATTTATATCTACAACCATTAATAAACAGTGTGTCGAACCCTGACAGGTGTTTTCGTTATTACGATTCCATAACCCTGTTACACTTCACGTATAATATTTTGAAAAAAAAATCTGCCTCATATGAATATAAAAACTTTCATTCAGTAGGTTTGTTATCTAAGTAAAGAAAAATGGGTGTCACATTCATTAAATACACGGGCGTCAGATATAAATACTTACAGTTACTTAAACATAATCCTAGTATATTCATTCTATTATTCATTGTGTAATTTATTGTAATTGTTTTCTTATATCTACTTCTGAGGGAGGATCTCTCTAACAGCATCAACTACCCTATAACTTTTCGCTGTTCTGTGTTTAGAACTTTCTTGAAAATTCTGTTGGAAGGCTGTACATCTGTGGATCAGATTGTGTGTTACAATTTTTAGAGAGTTTTAGAGATGCTCTTAAACCAGAATTAATTTTGGCAACATTGATGAAAAAGCAACAACGTTCAACAAGCGACACTGGCAAAAGATAAAATAGGCTAAGACCCCATTACGTCCACTATTTTTGGGTCTTCTTTTATAATAATACAACAATTTATCAATTAAAACCAGTTGCCATTCCTGATTTACAAAAATAGTATTGGTTTTTATTTACTTAATACACAGTGGGCTCAGAAAAGTCTGCAAACGTGTAAATTTCCGTTTTTTCAATTTTTTGCGAATTTTGTTTAGGAAAACAAAGTGCACAAGATTGCCTATCTGCCAAATTTATATGCATATATCACTCGTATATCATACATTTATATGAGATGCATTTTATATGTAAAAATGTAAGATTTTTTCGAAATGAAAAATCAAATTTTACGGAATTGCGACAGAATTGAGAAAATTCGGGAAAACATCTCAATTATTCACCCTCTTGTTGCCACTGTGTAAGATTAAAATGCAAAATAAAAGCTAAGTTTTAAAACAATCATTATTTTTTGTGCTTGACTACAGAATATCAAAATTGTTACTGTTTTTGTTTTTACCTCATATACATGTAGATCGTTTTAGGAAATGAATTCCTTAATTAACAAAAAATCAGATTCATTAAGTCTTTGTGTTGGCCAGAAAAAAAACAAACAACAACTACATAATAGTCTATGTATGTATGCTTAATACATCAGTAATTAAACTTCTGACAAAACAATCAATGTAAACAAATAAATTTCTCCATACCATTATTTATACTTAATTTAAGTAGACGAATATTTTCAAACGTAACATTACATTAATAAATAATGTAGTCCCAAAAAACAGAATTTCATTTGAATGATACCTGGTAATTAAACTAAATGTTTGAAGTCTTGTGGCGAAAATGATTCCCAACTCTGTACCCATTTAATGCATTTTAAATATTCATAAGAAACCCACTCAAAATTCCTGATAGGAGGAAGAGGATATAAAATATTAGAGCTTTATTTTCTTTGATTTTAGAAAATTTTATGTTTCTATGAACGTCTGTTTCCCTCAGGAATGGACAAAATTCGAAAAATAATTAGTGAGGTTTAAAACTACATCTACAATTATTAAATTTCAAAAATAATTGTAGATACTGCTTTTTAAAAGTTTTTTTTTTCCATGTTGACCCTTTTTTTTTATATTTCCAGATTTATTGTTTGGTTGTTGGGGGTTGCTTACTTGGGCGGTCATCTGTTTACCAAGTAGGTGCAGAATTAAGAAAAAGGCAACAAGACTGTTAACATGATCAATCACTTAATGGTAACATCACATTTTCAAAAAAACCGCTAATGCATTAATAGATTGATTTTAATAGGTGTGCAATGTTCGCATTTTGTTTTAACGATATTTTGAACAAGATTACTTTAATATTAAAATACATTTTAATAAATTTCCTTAAGAGCTAGCAGAGAGCCTATGTAAAGACGAATAATAACTCGAATTGTTAATGGTTGGTCATATTTCAACGACAGAAAATGGCCCCCACCCGTTGAAAAAAAATCATCTCTTGTAGTAAAAAGAACACCAGGGGTAATTATTTTATCTGTAGATCCCATAGAAAATTGACCCCGTTGTAATATGAACTCTTTAGAGTTATCTAGAATTCCAACGATCAAATTGATTAAAAGAATCAGATCGACCGCATCGATAATTCATTATAACATTTTAAAATGCTAATGGGCAATGGCTCATTTGATAGTCCTGCAACCTGAATTAGACTTTAATAGAACCTGACATGTCTGCATTTGTCAAAAGGAGGGAAAAGATTTTTAATACATGCATTGGCCCTTTTCTAGTTGTGCATTGTCTGCATTGGCCAAAAAACTACAAAGTTGTAATTAGGAATTGTAATGACATTGTTGCATTTGCTCAATAATAAATTCCGTTAATGCTTTGCATGTTTATTCACTTTCCTCGACTTAAATAAATATTTAATTTTTTTTAACTCCAAAATATATTTGTCCTTTACATTTAGCACAATTTCAATTGCATATGTAATTTAAAAAAATCACAAATCAGAATGAGAAAAATTGCATGCAATGAATGGCCATCATGTTATTGTTTCCCTGACTACTTACCTGGTATATAATATGGTTTTGGAAATAAGCGAATACAACCATAACCTTTATTTTGGACTACTTACTCTCTCTGCCTGAATACAAACGATGAATTTTTGTTTATTAATTAAGACAGTATTAAATTCTATTGCAACACATACCGAAGGTTACATTTTGTATGTTTTCTGTTAATGTTTAAAAAATCTAATTTGATTCTTATTATTTCCTTTACAAAATTGAGGTGTTTCGCTGAAATACATGAACGGTTTTAAATTTAATATCAAATTATATATTTCAATGAAATAGGTAAATTATTTTTAGCAGTACAATTGTTCATTTGCTGACATTTACTGAAATCCTTAACCATCAGTATTGAATTGTTTTGTATGCATATGGTTGAGGATGAACCATATATTGGATGTTTAATAAACAAAGATCTGTTGTAATGCCAAGTAATGATTCATATCTTGTTTCCTTACAATTTGGGGAACTATCTTTTTCTAAAACAATTTTTTTCATAGAAATTTCGGAGTATATAAGACGCACATGTTTAAAGATTTTATCTCCAAATAAAAACTAACCACAAATACTGATGAATGTTTATATATATTCACTGAAGAGATCAAGTTCATTTGAAATTAAAAGTCCACTTAAATGCTTACAAAATGAGCATCAACTGGTCAATTCCTTGTAATTGTACTAATGAAATATTGAGATAATTAACTCTTGTTCAAGCTGAAGTTCATTTAAATAACACATATCGGAGCTGACCTATAAGCGATTCAAAATGAAAGTAATGGTCGAAGAATTATCGTCAAATCACATATTTCCTAGGGGTCAAATTTTTGTTGTTTGAGAAAAATATATTGGTTCATGGAGAATTTATTTCGTGTATGAAGAACTGATCAACTAAGAACCAGAAATGTCAGACTCAAGGTATTTTATATTTTGAATTCACTGGGATATATTAAGTCAAAATATTACAGAGGCAGCTATAGTTTATTGATTTTATTATCTAATTGAGGAGCCATAATGAGTTTACAACAATAACGCAAGGAAGCTCTATTTCATCATATAATTTTGCGCATACTAGTATTTAGGCAATTTCATTCATTTCTAACATAGGTAAAATGCCTTTATTCTTCAGAAAGAACAATTCACTTTGCTTAAACAGAGACACTGTTGTTTTCTTTTTTATATGAAATTTACTGGTAATAAGGAATTCAATAACGTATTATCCGACCTACCTTAATTTTTATTCTATTATTTATTTATTGTGTAATTAATTGCAATTATATACTTATATCTACTGCTGAGGGCAGATCTCTTTAACAGCATAAACTACCCTAGAGCTCTTCAGTGTTCTGTGTTTATAACTTTCTGGAAAATGCTATTGGAAGGCTGTACATCTGTGGATCAGATTATGTGTTGATTTTAAGAAAGAACATGCCAGAGATATTTTAAGAGAAAGCTGGAATTTCAAGAATAACAAAAAATTAATTTTGGTAACACTTATGGAAAAGCAACAGTTTGAAAATTGAAGTCAGACAATATTCTTTTTTGTATATGATATTTCGAATGGTCAATTTATTATCAGATAGAATTCAACAATATCATGATTAATAAATTAATTGATATAAATCTCTAATTGTTCTCATTTTTATGCGAATTTTGTTTAAGAAAACAAAGAGCACCAGCTTGCCTATCTGCCAAATTTATATTCATATCATACGTGTATCATACACCTATATCAGATGCATTTTAGATATAAAAATTTCAGATGTTTTTCGAAATGAAAACTCAAATTTTACGAAATTCCGAAAGGATTGAGAAAGGTTGGGAAAACGTCCCAATTCTGCGCCCTCTTGTAGTCTCTGTTTAAGATTAAAATCAAATAAAAGCCAAGTTTAAAAACAACCATTATTCTTTGTGCCCGACTAAAGAATATCAAATTTGTTTCTGTGTTTTTGTTTTTACATAATATAGATGTAGAACTTTTTAGTTTAAGAAAATGAATTCGTTAATAAACCAAAGATTCCTTTTAATAAATTTTTGTTTTGGCCAGAAAAAAAAACCAAACTACTACTACTACTTAAAGGTCTATGTATGTATGCTTAAAAAAATCAGTAATTACACTTCCAATTTATCCTTAATTAAAGTAGACGAACATTTTCAAATGTAGCATTGTATAAATAAATTATATAGTCCCAGAGAGCGGAATCTCATTTGTATTATAATTAAACTAAATATTTGAAGACATGTTGCGAAAATATTTCCAAACTTTGTACCCATTATATTGCATTTGAAATATTCATGTGAAACCCACTCAAAATTCGTGATAAGAGGAAACGATACAAAATATGATAGCTTTATTTTCTTTGATTTTATAAAACTTAATGTTTCTATGAACGTCTGATCCCCATAGGACTGGATAAAATCAGACAAAAATTAAACGAGGTGTAAAACTACATCAACAATTATTAAATTCGATAATTATTTCTAGATACTGCCTTTAAAAAG